ACACACACACACACACACACACACACATATATATATATATAACCCAATAAAAAGCCGATTGTCACACACCTGAATAGTCAGTGGCAGTCGATTCCACGGCACAGTGTTCAGCATGCAATCGACCACCTTCCAAAGAGGGATAAGAGGGATAAGGCAGAGTGTCTGCAGTGTGAGTCATGCGCCATTTCGAGATAGAGCAGGAGTGCATGCGATGTACACTACAGGTTTGTGATACTTACACCAGGGATGATCCGACAGGCGCGTGTATAACAGCTTTGCAAAACTACATTATGTAGATATGACGGTGGCCTGGTTTGTGTACGCAAGTAGCTGTAATCGAATACTCTGAGATGCAATGTTTTTACACCCCTAGAGATTTCTGTCAACCTAATATATACTTCCCCACAATTACGTAGTTACAGGCGAGTAGACAAGCCAACAAACTATATACGTCCCAACCGCACAACCACGGGGACTAAATCCACGTTTTTAGATACAAATGAATGCAAGCCTGTACGCAGGTGACTTCAAATCCACAGAACACACACATCCGCACAGATATAGGAAGAAAATCATAGCAGTGACTATACGAGTGTGTCCAAACACACCTTGAGCATATTAGGTAAGCGAGTCACCGTAGTCTTTGCTAAACCCTGGATGGTTGGGGATGACGATATGTGTCTGGAAGCCTTGCCGTTTTGCCAGGCCCATTCGAACTACAATTCCACAGGGAAAAGAAAGCAAATCAATGACACAGCTTCTGGTAGTACGCGATCTGTTGAATTAATGTGACAAGAACATCGGACACCCCACTGAAATGATGATTGTAGGACCCATCCTGCAACAGATGATTGTAAGTGTTCCTAATAATAGACAATACTTGTACACCATTAATTGGAGATGTATTCCTGCTTATACCTATACACACTGATAATGTGCAGCCTAAACTTCGGTAGAGCTGTGAATAGTCCTTGGGAGAATTAAAAAAAACGAATTTGTGCCCAAATCTATCCGGAACACACACAGCCTACTGCAGTCTTACCAAAGATCTCGAATACATCCCTATACCACGAGGATTAACCCCTTCCCACACTCACCCGCAAGGCTGCCTTTTCATCTGGGAATCCGTGGACCACTAACACACTCTCCCAGGGTCTCTTCCGCAGTGTTCTCTTAGCGCCCATAGTCAGCTCGCCATTGTGCTGGCGGAGCCTTCTGGGTGGGTCGACTGAGAATCCTGTGTGACGGGTGAATGCGGATATGGTTTGTTTGTATTGAGTACAGGATACATAACGCACTTTTTACGGCAGAATAATCTGTTATACCGATAATAAATAACGCGCTGGCTTCTACCCTATCACGAGCTGAAGCTTTCGATGCGTTAAGGGCATTCGAAATACACAGACCTATCCCATTTCACAACCAGGTTCGTCACTCGCAATCTTTAAATCCAGCCAAGTGAACCACACTTAGATGACCAGCCAATGTCTGTCTAACAAACGAGTATGCCTTTAGAGGCTTATATATATATCAGTCACCCCAGCTTGCATAATTTCACAACATTTGTGAGATCTTGGGGCTGCATAGAGTACTTACCAACATAGGTATGGTATTTGCAGGTCGGCTTTTTGGAGGTAAGAAGGTACACTCCATAGAAGTACTTCCTAGACAGCGCGGGCGCAACTTCCATCGTTCTGATACTTCACAGTATGTGTAGTTTCTGTACGCCGATAGTAGTGTGAGAATTAAGAGGTTATTGAAAGGCAAAAACTTCTCTATTCATAAGGTAGGGTTCATATAAGTTCTTTCTATGCCGCTCAGACGCAGCTTCCATCTATCTGTGGCTCCGCAATTTCTGTAGTTGATGTATTCTGATGTTATTAGAGAGGGAAACAAGTTGTTATTGAAAAATATATTCGTACCTCTTGGCTGCTGGGGGGCTTTTTCTTCTTCTGTAGACTACTTCTAACCAAGACGTAGCGCCCTAACTGTTCTAGTTCAGTCGATACTAGTAAACAGATTCTTCGAAATAGTGCTCACAGAAGAGAAAAAGAAGGCTATTGCTCGAGAGGACCGGTCACTATCACATCTCTGCTTCTACTGTATACTGGCAGTAATCTCAATATTTAGCTGTGAAGTACTTTTGACCACATGCGCATGCTTGCGTCGACCAGGGCCCAGCGGGAAAATATACATCTGGTTTAACGCAGACACAATTGCAGAGTGCAGTAACAGTATGTCTGTTGTGGTGCGGGGATATGCAATCTAAGCAGAGTATAGGCATCAAGCAGACATAATAGATAGCTGTCACTGACAGGTAGTAGTTAGCCAAGCATGATCACGTTTCAAGCCATAGCGAGACGTTATTAGTGCAGTCCCCTCAGAAAATCGGATTAAGTATAGAAACATAGCGGCTTATTGAACTATTATATGAGGCCCTACACCGACCCATCGACGCATACATACCGATTGATATTTATCGCTAAACCGGAACCGACTTTTGTCGTAGACTTGGGCCTTGGCAGCCACTCTCGTGTTTCAACTTAAAAGAGTTCAGACTGTAACGCTGGAGAACTAGCAAGCTCGCATACTTTGCATAGTACCTCTATATAACAAAAAATAGTCACTCAACATCTCACTATACGAATGTGAACAACACCCAGAAATCCACCTATTGCCTATTCATCGAGTTCACCACAACCGCACAACCACAGCATATGAAGTATATCTAGGCCTCCAACTCCAAGGCTCAAACTTGTGCCAGTGCGTCTGTGGCATTCTGGGCTTTGCTATTTCATAAGATGCTCCGATCAAGACTATTTATAGATCCGACTATATAGCGGGAATCTATTGGGGGTTAGCTTTTGGCGGGCTTCCATAAAAATTGCTTCACACAAAAAATAGTTTCAGTTCGAGTGTTCGTGGAATCGTGGCTTAGGGCCGTAGGCTGTTTGGGCCCGAGGCCTCATCACTCATCACTCATCACAGTCACTCAGAGCCTCACGGCCACTCAGACTGTTTGTATTTAACGCTGTAGAGTGTATGAATTTACATAGAGAGCCCCATATCAACAGTATATATATATATATATATATTAATTTTTTGTTGAAAAATCCGAGTCAAAATACCTAAGCAGATCTCCTGCACATCGTACCATCACTCGCCACCTACTCGGCTTGTTCATACACAAAGTGTATCTCCATACTTGTCTTATCAATCTGCTGTGTGTTCAAGTACAATAAGGATATCACATCGGATTATAGAACAAAAAGTAATAGTTCAGACACAGTCATATACCATCGAGAAGGACATGATGGGGGAAGCCAGCGCCAGTAGTATCAATCTGAAAGGCAGCACAGATACTGTAGTTGAGTTTTTTAACTATGCCGTTAATAGGTGAGTGGCTTTTGCATACAATATATATATATATAAATATATATATATATATATATATAATACACACACACACACACACACACACACACACACACACACACACACACACACA